TGAGCAAATATGAACCCATCCGCCATCCCCACATGAAGGGCCCTGCCAGTGATAGGGACGGAGAGGGGCCAGGATTGGCAGCGGCAGCCTTGTTGCAGCTCATTTGAGAACCAGCTCCAGGCTCCCAGGGAAGAGCCTTGTGTACATGCCAGCTGTCTTGCGGGGTGCAGGAAATGGCTCAGCAAAGGCTCTTAATGCTGCAGGATGGCTTTGCCCACCAGGAGTCCCTCTCAGAAGTGAATACAGTTCATTAGTCAGAAAGATGCCTTAATGGGTTAATGCAGAATTAGAGACAACTACAAAAAGCATCATGGGCTAAAAGAATGTCCCTGTGCCCTGACCCCATTAAGCTATGTGCCTTATAGATAATTAATAAGAGAGTGTTAGAAAGGCAACCCGGGATGGTGGAAGGATGGCGGCGCTGAGGCCGGACTTACAGAAGGGACCAGCCACTGAGCTGAAGAGTTTACTTAGCTTTTTTGGTTGAATCCTCCAAACACTCCCATGAGCTAAGTTTATGCCTGCTTATCCAGGGAGTGGTCAGACTTGGCAAGGTTGACGCAAGGTCACAGAGCTAGAGGTGGAGCACCAATTTGAAGCGAGTCTTGCTTCGCCACCACAGCCTGCCGCCTCCCTGGTAGGATGATTGGGGTACTCAGTAAGACAGAGGGTGGGGAACGTGCCTGATTGACCAGTAGGTGCTCAGTGGGGGCTGGGGGCTTCTCTTCTCATCTCTCTTCCTCCCGGGCTTGCCCCTGCCCCTGAAAGGACTCTGTATGCTGTCTTCAGAGCGGCCTGTCTCCCAAGACCAGTGAGTGCCCCAGCAGCCACTGTGGAGGAGACAGGAGTGCTGTGACTTCCATTTGCGATCACAACCCTGGGCGCTAGGTGCTGCCCTGGGATTATAGGTGTCTCGAGCTTTGCCTGCCCCGCGTGACTGGCACAGGCTGCCCCAGGGGGAGCGGGGACCACCACCAGGGATGTCACTGTGACTCCTGGTGGCATCATGTTCTTCTAGCATGGCCTGCATCTCGTTGGTTCTCAGAGTGTTGCAGTACTAAAAATAAACAAACCAGTTGCCACCCACGGCAATGCCAGCTCATGGCAACCCCACGTGTGCCAGAGCCGAACTGTGCTCCAAAGGGGCTTCCGTGGCTCATGTTGCAGATGTAGATCGCCAGCCCTTTCTTCTGAGCTGCCTCTGGGTGGGCTCGAACCGCCGACACTCCAGTTAGCAGCCAAGCTCATGAATTAACCATCTGTATCCCTCCGGGACTTGTGGCTTTAAACCTCCTCTGCAGGAGAGAAAGCCCAGGCCAACGCAGGGTTTCTCTGTGCAGATTGATGCCTACCATGTGTTTTCTGAGTGTTAGTGCCTGTTTGGAACCTCAGGTTGGCCTCCCAACACCCTGTGAGACAAACACCATGTTCACTCTCATCTTGCACATAAGACAAAACCTGAGGCATAAGCGTTTCAAGCTTGCCCAGGGGGCACAGCCACTGGCAGGGATGGTGCAGACCCAGTTTCATCCGACCCGAGCTTGGCTCTTCGTCACTCAGCCACAGACAGGCCGCTTCTTGCTCAGAACCCGGCGGTGGTTTTCCCAGTGGTTATCCCGTGGGATAAAGTCCAAATGCCTCTCCTTCCTGATAAATGCTGTATCCCCTCCTGGCCTTTGTACCGGCCTTTCTTCTGCCTTCAGACCCCAACTTACATGGTACTTTCTGCAGGAAAAGTCTTCCCAGACCCCCCTGATTTGGGGTTAAGGGTTTCAGTCCTTCATTGCCTGTCGGCCCCTCCACCTCTGTCTGTCCCGTGTAGAGGCAAAGTCTGCACTCACTTTGTGCCCCCATCACTTGATACACAGGCAGGTGCGTGGTGAAAGTTTTAATGAACTAGTTAATGAATTAGATGTGAGACTACAATAGTTTTTGCTGGCAAGAATGGTAACTGTGGTACAGAGTTTCTGTCTTACAGTTATTTCTCAGTATGCTTCATGATATTTATTTGCTGCACTAGTGAGATTGCCAGCGGCCGATACACTAAGCACAGTGGCATAGTGATTACAACTTGGACTGAGACCCGGAAAGTCTGAAGTTCGAAACCGCCAGCCGATCTGAGGGAGAAAGATAGGTTTGATTTGTTTTTGTTTTTTTCCTCCTCTTGTAAAGAATTTGTGTTGGGTCACGATGAGTCAGCATCACTCCTGGCAGTGAGTTTGCTTTAGTTTGCAGATCAGAGGAGACCCTGATCCCTGAGGCAGTTGGCCATTTCAAGGACGGCCCCATTCAGCAAAGTCCCCTGACAGCTGCACCAAACAAAAGCCTATCTTTTCAGACAACGTGCACATAGACTGATGTACCCACCTGACCTTCTCCATGTGTCTGCCCTGGGAAATTATCACTAGTGTTCCTTCTGAAATGTCTTCAAGAAGTTTTGATGTTTTTATTTTCCTATATAGTGTGAGGTAAGGATTGACGTTTTTGCTTGTTTGTTTGTTTTTCAAAATGAGTATCCAGTTGTTCCAACCCTCTCCTTTCTCCCCACTGCCCTCCATCAAAAATTGAGTCAAGCACATACCTGGGTCTGTACCTGGATTTTTGATCCATTGGTTTATATGTTCACCCTGACCCAAATACCATACAGTCTTGATTACAGTAGCTTTGGGTAAGTCTTGAAATCGGATCATAGAAATTTTATATCATCTTTCTTGGAGAAAGCTCATCTAATAAGCAAAATTGTGGCGATTATGAACCATAAAAACGTATAACCGGTTTCATGCTTCTAAGATACTTGGTAAACCCCCTGTCTCAGAGCAGCTGATCTTTTATCAAAACTCAGGCTGAGTATAGAGTAGGGAAGGTCAGGTTCAGCCCACTCTCACGGTTTACTGCAGATACTGGCGAGCTTGTGAAATGCGGGGCTCTGCTAGTAGAACTTCGTTTACACACACACACACACACACAGAGAGTTTCAGCTTGATCTCCCACCTTTTGTAAGAGCTCATAACGGGCCTTCTATAAACCTGTAGTATAGTGGTTATACATTGGGCTGCTGACCACAAGTTCAAAATCACCAGCTGCTCCAAGGGAGTAAGACTGAGCTTTCTATCTCAGTAAAGAGTTTCAGTCTGCGAAACTCACAAGGGCAGTTCTACTCTGTCCTACCTTGTCGCCATGAGCCAGGAACGACTCAATGGCCGTGAGAAGTAGAGGTAATGGGGTGTGTGTCATGATTCAGAGACCGTGTAGGGCAGAGTCAGACTGCCCCAAGGCTGTATGCAGTCCTTACGGAAGCAGACATACACAGCTTTCTTGTGTGGAGTGGCTATTGAACTTGAACTGCTGACCTTTTAGTGAGCAGCTGAGCTCGGAACCCCTGTGCCACCTGCCCCTCATGAGGTAGAGGATGCCTAAACACCAAATGATAAAGTTGCCCCTATTCGAAAAGTACACATTCATCTTCCATGAAGGACCTTTGATTAAAAGTTTGGAATGTTCATATAGCATGCTCATAGAGACCTGCGGGTGGGCGGGGTGGGGGGGTGATATAAGTAAGAAGTATGTGTAGATGAGATGATGTGTTTTATAAGAAGTATTTATTCTATAGAAATGAATAATATCCTTACTGAACTTCGCGTTGGGCCGTATAATTCTAGACTCGTCCGTGTGGTGTTTTTTTAGCAAAGGTACCATTCATCCCCTTGCCTCTGCATCAAAGTGTTGCGGGACGATGTAGACGTTAGTGCAGCTGAGACTTAGATGCTGACGGTAGACAGGACCTTGTTTAGAAAAAAGAAAAGTGAGACGTGGGGACTTGCACAAAGCTACATGAGAACTACGATGGGAAGTCGGGCATCTGGGCCCTCCATCCATGGTGTGCTTCTCACTCGATGGAGGTGCCTTGCTTGCTAAGTACCGCACCATGCGGAATTTTGACTTGAGCCATCGGGAATAGCTGCTTGGGAGATCCAAGAAGACCCAATCTTCGGTCATCCCAGTGGCTCAACTCATTTAAATCTCCAGACAAACTCCGATCGGGGTGGCTTGGCTGGGAATTTGTGTGGGAAAGGGACCGATGTTTGCTGGAGAGAAGGTTGGCTTTGGGTTGCTCTTCCGTTTCCTAGGTAGCGCAGACAGTTAAGCAGTGGACTAGTCGCCAACAGGTGATCCTTTCAGAGGCGCCCAAGAAGGCTTGGCGATCTGCTTCCAGAAGGTCACACAGTGTGTGAACTCTAAGGAGCACACGGCGTTACCACGTGTTGAAATCAACTCCACAGCCACCCACAACCAGGGTTGCCCTGGGCGTATGGGTTCTTAGAAGGGACGGTAAGGGAACCCTTGAGTGGCCAACCTGCGAGAAGCTGCAGGGCAGGAGGAGGCCAGGCCCTCCCGAGGGGACTGGCCCCGAGCACCCATGTCACCTCTTCAAGGGAGGAAGGATCGATCCTTCCTTCCACCGGCCCGGAAGTTCAAGAACGAACTGCATCGTGGGTGCTGAGGTGCAAATAGCTTGTCAACCCCGTTTGCCGTGACTGTCGGCTGTACCTTTCCCTTGTTGGGCTCAAGGCAAATCAGAAGGTGCCCTGCCGCTGCCGGCCAAGGTCAGAAACACACAGTGCTCTCTGGTCAGAGTCTGTAGGGAAAGTATATACACAAAAATGCCAGAAAATCGCCTTTGAGCTCCACTTTTTAAAGCGTTCTTTCTTCTCCTTGACCTCAGCATCAATCCTCTGGCCGTCCCCTCTGGAGTGGACACAGCTGGCCAAGTTTCTGAACGTGTGTTGCCTTCTCCCTCGCCCATGTCTTTTTCTGCCTGTCTCCTTGCCTCTCGGTTTCTGGTTGCTCTCTGGGTCTGTCTATCTATTTCTTGGGTTTTTCAGTCCCCCTCCTACCCACCAACTCACTCTTCCTCTCCCCCCTCCCTTTTTCTGGAGTAGCCCAAAATTCCGGCTTCCCAGTTGAATTCACGTGTGTGCTCCTCTCTCTGGTTTCTTCAGTTCCTCCTGGAGTGATCCAGAATGGAGCCCGAGTTTTGAGCCGAGGGATGTTTCCCAGCGTCCGGCCATTGCCAATCACTCCCATCGGAATGACGGCTGCCATAAGGTAAGGGCGACCCCAGCATGGAGGGTGGGGAGTAGCCCCTGTGTCCCATGGGGCCATTTGGCAGCGGGGAGGGGTGAGAGGGGGCAGCCTTAACCTCGTTAAGCCACTTAAACCTAGTGTGGAGATTCAGAGAAATCAGAGTGACTCCCAGGGCCTCCAGGAAGAAAGTACCATGTTCTCCGTGGGCCAGCAAAGTACCCTGGCTTCCTAGAAGGTGAGGAAATCCAGGCACGTGGAAATAAGTTTCAAGGTCATCCAACCTGTGACCTTGGACTGATTTCTGACCTTCGGGGGCCTTTGTTACCTTCTCTGTGACTTGACCCTGCCCCTTTGAAGGAATTTGTAGCGAAATTCAAATGCCAACTTGTGGGAAGTGACTTTTATCAGAGGTACATCCATAGCAGGTCACACTGTTCGTAGGCCATTTCCTTGGATCCAGTTCTTCCATCCCTGCTTCCCACTCCACTGTCGGCCTGGAATAGAGCCCACCATTGATTTAGCACCTGTGTGCAGCTTCTCTCTCCCTAGCCTTAACTGTGGACCAAACACTGCCTCTTCTGCCTCTCTGGGACCACCTCCAGGGACCTCCCACCCAGTCCATTCTACTTGAGCCACAAGTACATCCAGTGTCTGCCTGTCTTCTTTGTAGAGTGGCCTCTGGGTAGATTTAAGACTGTGCCTCCATCAAGGCTTATCCCGAAGATGAGGACGCCCCCTGAGCCAACAACGGACGAATCACACTCGCTGTGAACCCACAACCACGGTCCCTGGTGTGGCCCTGGAATGACTTGAGCCGGTGCCACAGTAATTTCCAGTTGTCCCTCTGTCCTCAGCAATGAGCTTGCTAAACCTAGGGCCTGGAGCCCCTCAGATGGCCCAGGCCCCGTGGCATGCCCCACCCACTGATCGGATTGTGTGGCAAAGACCCAGCCGGCTAGGTTGTGGCATCTCTTGATAGCGAAGCCTTTCTGCCCATAGGTCAAGTTCACATCTGAAGGCCCTTTTGTTTCCGTCGCCCAAGGTGAAGACCAATGCAGAGTCTGGTCATTTATGGCTCGAGGACGTGGCAAAGTGGAGTTGTCACTTGTCTTCCAAGCTCCACTGGTAAACCAGCCTCCTTCTGAAGCCTGGGTGGGAGGCACTTGATTTCAGGTCAAATCATGGTGTCTGGGAGCTGATAAGGGAAGGAGGAAGGGAGAGAGAGCGGGGAGAGGGATTGATGGATGGGAGGGAGGGATGAGGGATGCACCATGGCCATGGCTCTTGAGATGGTTGGCTCATGGCCGCCTTACTGTGTAACAGAGGGACATGCTGCCCATCTTGTGTAATTCTCACAATCGCCAGAATGCTCAAGTTCATTGTTGGGACTGGTGTGCCAAGTCATCCCCCCAGGGTCTTCCACGCCCTTCCTTCCTTGCCCTCCGCTTCCCTTCACATGATGTCGTCTTCCCTCCTGATGGCTCGTCCCGAGCACAAGTCAGACGGTGCTCTGTTGGGATCCAGAAGGTTTTTGTTGGCTAATTTGGGGAAGTAGATCACCAGATCATTCCTCTTAAGCTGTCTGAGTCTGAAATTTATCCTGAGACCTGTCCATCATGGAGATCCTGCTGATACTTGAAATGCTGATGATACTGCTTCCAGCACCATACCAACATACAAGCCCTGTAGGCCATCACAGTGTCTAGTCTGACCAGCTGGCGGCAGGGTGGTGGATGAGTGGTGAGGCTCGGAGAAATTAGCGTCATGACTGAGCCGTTTCTACCTGATACGGGGATGCTTTTGACAAAGGAAGTGTCCTTTTCTTGTACTGCTCCAAGTTTGTTTTCGTTTGTTGTCCCTTGGTGACCGTTAGATCCGTCATTCTCCTTGCGGTCATAAGTGGTCAGCCTGTGCCACGAAGCCAGGTAGCAGTGCCCTTGCCTGACACAGTGTGCTTCTGTTCCCTTCCTCACCGCCTTGCTCACCTTTACGTTTGTGAAGAGCTGGAGGCTACTGTGACACGGAGGAAACCAGCCATTTTTCATTCAAAGAGCATCTAAGTAGAAGTTCCATATCTCTTATTGACCATTCTTTTTTGTTTCCAACATGACATGATCTTTATTTCCTGAAAAAGAGTCTAACACTTTATGGAAGCACTCAAGGTTACATTAGGACTGTCATCAGCCCCTTCTTCCATTAAAAAATAATAATAATAATAATAATAAAATAATTGTATTTTATAACAACATTGACACCAAAGTGGATATATTCATGTTGTGTATTCAGATGTTTTCTTCTTTCTAATGTCTTACTGACCATTCTTACAGTGCTTTCAAACATTGCTTTAAATCTGGCTCCAGCCTTTCCTCGCAGAAGGAGCCCAGAGGCCCAAACAGAGGCGGAAGGAAACTTTAGAGCAGGCTGGCTTTCAGCGAGAGCTGACCGAGCGGCCTGCCCTGTTGTCCTGGTGCCATAATTTATCACAAAGTTTACTGGTTAGCCCTCTCTGGAAGCATCGTTGATGCCTTTGAATTACGGTATTGGCCAAGAGTATTGACAGTGCCCTGGAAAATGCCATCTGTCTTGGAGGAGATCTATAGCAGGAGTGCTCCTTAGCAGGAAAGATGGCAAGATTTGATCTCAGATACTTGGGACACATTGTCAGGAGAGACCAGACCCTTAAAAAAAAAACCCAGGGAAAAAAAAAAACCGGCCTCCTGCTTGGTAAAGTAGAAGCTCAGCCAAAAGGAAGGGCTCCTACGAGATGGACTTCCACAAGGACCACAAGCAAGGGCTGAAACGTGCCCGCGGCGAGATGGCCCGGCAAGGCCTGGGCCGCGTACTGTTCGGTTGTGGATAAGGTCTCTGAGAGTCAGCGTTTACGTGAGGGCACTTAACAACAACAGAGGCATCCTTGGAGGAGCCGAGGATGTGCACTGGTTAAAACACATGGCCGTGAGCTGCAAGGCTGGCAGTTCACACCACCAGCTGCTCCGTGGGAGAAAGACATGACCGTAAACTTTAGTAAAGATTACAGCCTTCAAAACCCTGGGGGGCAGGCCTCCTCCGTCCTCCAGGTTGCATTATTTACGATATTAAATTTTTTCCCTCTCATTAGAAGATAACAAAGCACTGTCGCAACATAGTTGGAAGTCTTGCTCGTTTCCACTAACGTGAAGTTTCATCTTTGCAGCACCTCCGTTTGGCCACCTCTAAACTCAGATTGCATCCCGGTTTCTAGGACAAAACTTGTGTATCATTCAGAGGCAGTCAGGAGACAGACGCCGCACCAGTGGTGACAACAGAGGGCGTTAACATCAAGCGTTGTGTACTCAGTGGGAAGCTGTTAGCCATAAACTGAACGGTGAAAGGAGAGGGACGTCTGAACTGGAAGAAGCATGGACAGGAAGACGCTACCAGTTCAGGGCCTGAGACAACAAAGGGAAGCAGTTGGAATTGTGCCCAGGGATTCAGGTTCCTGAGGCTGGGCCTGGGAGCAAGGTCTTTGAGCTCCGAGCAGGGGCCTGCGAGGCCTTGTCCAGACCTCCGAGAGAGCATAAGTCAGTTCTGGGAGGGTTGGGACCACTGCTGACTGGACTCAGCAGCTGCTCCAGGAAGGCAAGGCTGCTTGTGAGCACACCCCCCCCCGCCCCGCCCCCCGGAGCAGGAATCACATGGGAAGGGGCAATATCTTCCTCCTCCACTGCCTCCACAGTCTCTGTGGCTCCCCCTCTTGGACCTAACACAAAGCCAGGTGACAAAGTTGAAATGGGACTTGTAGCATCCCAGGCCCTGCATATAAACCAGGTGGGTTTGGGGCTCAGAGAGATTAATAATGGCCCAATTGCTTGGTAGTCGAGGACCAAGGTGAGCAATGACGGAAGCCTGGGGGCCTGACCGGTAAATTGTCCACACACCACCTGTGCACCTGCCACCTTATTTTAAGGGAAAGTTGGAGGTAGAACCGTAAGCTTGCTAAGGTGCAGGGGGTCCACTTCTAGCCTCTCGGCCTCTGGGTTCCTTAAAGGCCCTGCACACAGTCGCCTCTCCAATGCTTTCAGAATTAAGGAGCGTAAGCATAACTCTGTAGGTATCTGCAGAATCAGGATCTTGGTAGAGCCCACAAAGAGGCATTTGGGAGGGAAAATCGGGATTTGCTCTCTCACGGGCCTCGTAATGATGTGTTTTAAGTTGGCCACATGTCCGTGGGATCTGACTTCTGTTGAGGTAGGAAGGAAACCAGTCCCGTGCAGAGCACGGAGCCACCCAGACTGTCTGCCACACCACATGGCGTGGGGCTCGTGGGAGCACTCCCTCCCTGGTCCGCAAAGCCCAGGGCGGAGGGGGGCGGCTGGAGGGAGAGCCGCGGTCATTAGCACCTACAAAAGACATATATTTTCATTCCAATTGGTGTGACAGGTTTTCTGTGTGAGTCTAGTGACTTCTCCTTAAGTGACAATATTTGTCTTTGGGGGATTTTTTCCCCCCTTCCACTGAGTGGCAAAGGTCATGTTTGTTTGTCTTAACTCAGAAAGCGTTGTTGACATAGATGAAGTGTTACTCTTATTAGCCGATCATTACCCAGCGTTTATTTGCTGGGTTCCTTTGCATATCATTACGACTAGTCAGAGTATCTGTCAATAGTGTAATTGACTCTCCAGTGTTGGCTTTTGACTCAGGAACCTCAGCGATTGGCCCGAGCTTCCACAGGGAAGCCTGGTTCTCTTTGCAATTGCCTGGGCACGCAGACACGTTACAGTTCCCACGTCTCAAGAATTCTCTGCCTCTGTCTTGCTTCTATCCTGGGGAAGTGTTTTCCAGGAAGGAGCTTGGAAAGACGGTTTCAGGCCTTCCTGGGAAGCAGAACCCTCTGGCTTCTCACATTTGTGCGGTTCTCGGGTAGGGGACCCACCTGGCCTTCAATTCTCTAGAATTCCTCCCCCCTCTCCCCAAATCCATTACCTTCTTTTATGTTCAATGCTTTTCATTACTCCGCAGAGAACCTTAGGTCTCTTTTTATC